TGTTCGGAGACGTGTCTCGCCGCGGGGCCACGGGCGGCATTCGTCTGGAACATTTTGCCGGCGGCCGATGAAACCGAGAGAAGGGGAGGGGGAGCCAAGCCACGCCACCCTGACCGACGCGCCGAAGACAAACATCCTGGAAAATGAAAAAAGTCTGGTCGCACACGCACTGTATGTAGCTGGTTCGTGTGTGGTGTGCTGGAGCGCCGGGCTGGAGTGCCGGGCTGGAGCGCAGTCCAAAAGCGCGCCGCGTCACGCTCTACATCGCGGCATCGGCAAATACCTCTCGCACCGCGCACGCACCATTTGCACTTTCGTGTTGCCAACTGCAGCACCGTAATTGAGGCAATAATGTGTGGTGTTGGCTGGCCTGGGCTGGCGGCGCCGCCACTGCCAGCCGGAACGGGGCGCCTCATGCCCGCCACCGAAACACAACGCGGCTCATTATCTTTGGGCAGTGCAGGCGCGGGCAGGCCGCGGCAGGCCGGGTCAGGCCCGCATTAAATCAGGGCCGGAAAATTAACGGCTTAGTGATACCGTAAAGGAGGGCCTCCCTGGCCTTGGCTCAGTATGCATACAGTATTTTTCCTGAGGGGCTGGCGGGCAGTTGAGCTTTCCTGACCGTGTCACGTTATGAGATCCCTACCTTTCCTGCTCCTAGGACGCCTCTGAGGTTCGTCCGCGCCAAACGGCAGCACGCGGTTCTGGGTCGGCGGGGCGGACGGGGCGGCAATCGAAGGGAAACGTTTTGTCGGCAACTGATGAGGCGGCATGCTGCTGGTGTGAATGACGAGCCGGTGGCCCGGAAGCCACGACGCCAGGCTGCCCGCCCGACGCGAAGTAACGCGCATTCATGGAGACATCATCATCTCGCTCTAATCCCCCGGCCGCCCCGCCACGCCCCGCCACGCCCCGCCACGCCCCGCCACGCCCCGCCACGCCCCGCCACGCCCCGCCACGCCCCGCCCCCCGCTGCAGCAGCCGGTCTCGAACACGGCGGGCTCGCGCCGCTCGCGCCAGAAAGCCCTTCCCTGGCAGCTTATTGTCCGCAACGTCGGTCCGACTCCCCAGACTAAGCAGTCGCCAATTTTCTTCTTCACTGGCTTGGTGCGAACAGGCCCCCTTTGTTTCACTGTGTCGCTGCACCTGGCTGCCAGCCCGCGGCCCTGCTGTGCCCTGCAGTGCCCTGCAGTGACGGCCCTTGTTTACCTTTTTTTTCGCTGCCCCGCCAATCCAGCCGCCGAATCTTCCCAGGGCCTGTGCCTAGTCAAATTTATACAAGGGGCGTTCATAATGGTGCCTGGGTTTACCCTCGGTTTTAACTCTTAGGTCAAACCTAACCCTGAAAAAAAGAAAAGATGAGGCGCTGCGTAGATTCTTCCGCGTTAGTTTTGTCTCTGTTTCCTGCCGGCGTCGTGTGCCGTGGTGCCGGTGCGACGACGACGGCGACGCCAGGACGCCGCGGAGGCCGTAACGGTCGCCGTCCGGTCCTTGTTTGTCCGGCCTGCCCAGTGTCCGGCGGGCCGCTGTGCGCTCTTTACCTTTTTGCGGCTTTTCGGGACACATTCTTTGTGGGGGCGGCCCGGGGCGGCCCAAACCGCCGCCTGCTAAGCGTGGCCGCGTGGCCGCGTCGCGCGCGCCACCGGCACTTATCGGTGGCCAGACTGGCCGGCAAACCACAACGCCGGACAAAGCGGCCGTCAAAGTGCCCTGCCCTGCCGGCCCCGCCGGCCCCGCCCCCCGGCCGCCCGAACGTGCCCCCGCATCGCCCGCTAGATATACACGCCTCCCTTCATTCCGCCAGTGCAGCCAGTGCAACGCTTTGTTCGCGTCGGTGAGTGTGCTTCGCTAATGCGCTGGATGCCGCAGGCCCGGCGATGCTGCCCACGAGAGGCGACGCGGCCCCCAAGGTGCTCGGCGTCCTCCTAGTCCTCGGCGGCCTCCTCGACCTGGTCCTGGCGGCCGGCATCCCCGTCGCCACCCCGGCCGCAGTCCTGCCGCCGTCAAACCACAGCGAAAACAGGTAACCGAGGTGACGGACAGAACAATGGCGGTGTTCTTCTCCGCGTGTTTACGGATTTGTTTCCTCGTTCTGCCCGCAGATTCATAAATGACTCCTTACAACGAAGATCACTGGCGGACCAGGAGAGGCATGCCGTCACGACAGGCAAGTGGACTCGGCGGTCTTCCCCGCCAGATGGCGCCTCGTCCGCGCTGTGGACACTCAGGGCGCCGTTCCGATGACCGAGACAGCTGGTCCTTCCCTCGTCCTTCCCGCCGCGCGACGGCTTTATTCAATGTCGGCTTTCCAGTGCGACACTGCTTCCGGGAAGAGAAAGGGCCACCGCCGAAACCGGAGTAGGCCCGTCCGACACGGCAGGCCGCCAACAACCCCCCGACGCGCGCGTGTGCCAGCGACTAGCTGCGGGGTGGACTCTAAATCCTCTAAATCCGCGTGGACCTCTACGGCAGTTTATCGCTGAAACATAGACAAATCGGAACCACATCTTAGGTCCTCTCGGATTTAGTTGGTGTTTCCAGTGGAGGTTCAGGACGCGCGTCTCGGCTAGCCGCTGCTTTCGAGGCGCTACACTGCTAGCGTTAGTTTGATCCCGAATAGTGCTTTTCGTCGCGCCGTCTCGCTCGCTCTCATGTTAGTGCGTCGCGGAGAGGCGCGAGAGAGACAGAGCGTGTCGAGTGTGTTGTCGTACGGCCCATCAGTGCCTTAAGACACGCTGCTGCGCGTGGCTGCGGTCCCGCGGGGCGGGGGCCACGCCAAGGGCCACGCCAAGGGCCACGCGGCCACGGGGCCAATCCGACTAGATTGCCGCCTTCTCACGCACGCAGCCTGCCGTGCGCGCGGCCCGGTCCAGCCCTGTCTCTGGTGCCGAGCTCCGTCTCTCTCGCACTCGCGGGGCAGCCCGTAGGGGTGCGAGAGGGACAGAGGCGGTGCGCGGAATCGCTCAGGCAGCCCGACGCCCTAACTAGCGGCCGAATCTGGCTATTGGGACCTTTCGAACCGGTGGCCGAGCGATGCCGTGTCGGCGCGGACTCGAAGCGGGTCTGAGGGTGTCTGCTGGCGTGCGGACCCGCCCCGCCCCGCCCCGCCCCGCCCCACCCCGCCCCGCCACGCCCCACCACACTGCGCGAAGCAAGAAGACCCAGAGGCAGCGCCGCGGGCCACCGTCTCCCGAATCCAACCACCCGATTAATTTGAGCTCGATGGCTGCAGTTTAGTCCTGCAGCAGCGTTCACGTCACCCCGCGTGCCTAACATTGTCATTATATTTTTCCACGGTGTAACTACGCGCTGCCGCCCCGGCGGCCCCGGCCCGGTTTCATCTCAGAGGCGCCGCCGTGCCCCGGAACAGGACGGCGGGCTGGCAGGCCAGCGCTGGCACTTGCTCCACGCCGCGATGGTCAGCGAGCTGCTTGATCCCGAAATGTATCTCCCGCAGCGGTCCTCTCGAGCTCGCGGCGCGACGCCCGCTTTCGCGCCACCCTGGCAAAACAAGCATCGCAACCCGGAAAAAAAAAGAAAAAAAGGCTTTGCGTCCCCCTATGTTGTCCCCCGCCTCGGCAGCAGCCCCGCGGCGGAGGATCTTCTCGTGCCCCACGGCTGTTTACTTTCGTCGGCACCATCGTGACCACCGCACGGCGGCGCACGGCCCGACCTTTCCCAGTGGCGGTGTCGCCGCGGTGGCGGCGTGGTGGCGGCGTACACGTACCGTGCCCGCCGGCGGGGACGTGACGACAAAGGTCACGGAGGGCGCGTTGCTGCAGTTGCCACAGCGGGCGCTGTCCCTTTCAGGCGCTTCCAGCACTCTCTTCGGAACTCCGTTTGTTCGCCGCGTTTTCCATTGTAGCACCGGGTTCCGTTTCATACCGCAACCAACCATCCAACCGAACACAAAAATAATCGCGTGTGCATGTTTTTCGTCGCAATTTTTTTTTAATCCAGCAGCGTGCGGGCTTGGGGGCGCTCCACGCGGAAGGAGATTCGCGGAGGGACAAAACGCGGCACGTATTCGCCCTGCTTGCCGGTGCGCTGTGCGCCGTGTCTTCTTTTGTTTTCAAATCTGCCGCCGTCCACCCATTTCGCCCATCCGCCCGTCCGCTCGGCGGCGCGGCGCGGCACAGCGGCGCAGCCATCCGCAAAACCGGCGCGGGCCGCGGGGGTGTGTCCGCGTCCCTCCGCCCTGCCGCCGACGCCGAGGCACAGATTTCGTGGACTCCGCGCAGCCGGTGTGTTTTGGACTAGATTTTATCAGTGCCTTAATGGCGGCGGCGAGGCAGGCGGGGCGGGCGGAGGGGGCGAGCGTTCCTGCCAGCTGCTGGAATTCCGCCCAGTTCTGCTTTGTCCAGCAGCGTCATCTCCGCCGTCGCCGTCCTGCCGTTCTGGTCCGCGACGTCCGGCGGGCCGGCAGGCTAATCCAGCCGCGGGCAGCCGGCGCGGCCAAGGCACGGCGAAAGGGACGAAGAGAAAAGAAACCGAGCCAATCAAACGAGGATCGTAATCCTTTGCCGCCCGGCGAGGCGCGCAGTTTCTCATACCGATACGCGCGACAATGAATTTGCACTCGAAGCCGCCCGCCAAGGAGATTTTTATGTACAAGAACTCAAACACTTGGGAGAGATCAGCAAATGGGGTGTTGTTCCAAGATAAAACTACCCGTTGAGGTGGTTTTTCTAGCGTGCTTCCAGTGAAAGCATCTGCATGGGCTGCTAGTTTGCCCGGCGGCCGCTAGGACCGAACAGGTGGCGCCGCAAGCTGGGCCTCGGAGTTCCAAATTCCCGGCCCTGGCGCGCGTCAATCTCATTTGGGGCGATCTCGCTGTGGCATCCCTGGAAAGTGACTCGCGCCTTGTGTGACGCAGGTGGCGGACGGAGACACCGCGGCGAGCTGTTCGCCTTCCCGCGCGTGGACGCCGTGGACGCGGCGACCGAGGCCCTGCTGCCCAGGCCGCCGCCAACCGCGGTCGTCGCCGTGCCCTCCGCCAGGGCCATCCCCGGCGACCTGGCCAACCTGGCGCTCGGCACCAGGGTGCGGCCCAGCGCGCGGAAAGCCAGCACCGAGCTGCTGGCGCCCCGGAAGAAGAAGGACAAGAAGGACGACGACGACGACTACGATGACGACTACGACGACGACGGTGAGTGGCAGTGTGTCAGTCGGATCGTTTTTCCAGACCGAAGGGCAATCGCAAGGCGGGTGCGCTGCCGGCGGGCCTCCCCCCGCCCCGCCGACTAGCGAGCTGAGCGAGCACAGCGCCGGCGGGGTAGGCAGCCCTTCGCTCGTACCAGCCAGCTCGCCAAGCCTCCCAAGCGCGAAGCCTGCGCCCGGGGGGTAGGCCACTTGTTCGGCCTGCCTCACAGCCCGCAGCGCCTGGCTGGCGCGCCGCGCCGCCGCGCCGCCACGCCCGCGACGATACGCATCCAGGCGTCGAGCGGAAGGGGTCTCGCGTTATTGGCAGAAACGTCACCGATACGTCTAGCGTCGGCTCTTCCAATGATTGGCTCACGCCGTTCTTTGCTTCCAGACAAGGAGTCCAAGCAGGGCGGCGGCCCGGCCAAGACGTTCAAGATCAAGAAGCACAAACTCAAGAAGTGGCTGCTGCCGCTGCTGGTGGGCTACAAGCTCAAGTTCATGACGCTGGTGCCGCTGCTGTTCGCCACCCTGGCGCTGCTCGTCGCCTCGGCGGGCTTCGCCGGCTTCTTCTTCGCCATGTTCACCGCGGCGCTCACCCTGCCCAAGAGCGGCGGGCACCACTAGGTTGCCATGGCTACCCCTGTCTTGCTTACCAAAACGACCGGAACGAGTGGGGACGCCGACGGAGGCCGCTCACGCGCAGTAGCGCTCGCGGGGGCGGTTCCGTCGTGAGGAACGATGATTTGCGTTGACACTGTTACGTTAGAGGGCAGCCGAGACTATCTGGACTGTGTCGTGTTCAGTTTGCTCAATGGTCGTCTCTGCATGCGCCAAACCGGTTCTCGCCGTCCCCGACAGTGCCGCGGCAGAGCGGCGCCGCCGCCAGTCGGTCTGGTCGACCGGCTCAGGCCCAGCGCCCCTGTCGAGTCCGGGGTGGGCCGTCCCGCGCAGCACGCGTGTCGTGTGTGTTGGTGCGGCCTACCCTGGACTTCGCAGGCGGCGTGCCCAGCCTGCCCGCTCTGGCCGGCGACTTCCTTGGACCTGGGGCGGGAAAACACCGCCACTGACCCGCCGCGACCCTCAAGGAAATACTGTTTAGGTATTTATATCTCGTGCACGGTGAGTGTCACTGGAGTTATGCGCAAAGTGACATAAAAATGGAAATTTGAATTTTTTATAGCGCCTATAATATTGCCGTTTGCGATGACTCCTCCATTTCCTGGTGGGCCGCGGTGGGTCATGGTGGACCACTTTTCTCATCCCTGCCGTTTAGACCCGGTGGATCTCCCAGCTTCGACGGGAACGCCTTGAGAACGATTGTTTGCAATATTGTGTGTACCTTTGTTGCCTTTCGGGCATGCCATTATTTATTTCCGACAGTTCTACACCGCGTAACGTGACGTAGGATATAAACATTGCCATTGTCTTCGTAAATAAGCAGTCTCACACATGTCAGCACAGTACTTTTCAGGGTTAATAGACTTTCTAATTCGGTAGAAGGTTCCCAAAACGCACAACGATTTTTATTTTCATGTAGTTTGGATAAGATTTATTTATTCCTCTAGAACCCATTGAATGTATAATATTTTACTATATTTATTTATTTGTAAATACCTCTTTAATTTATTTAAATGAAAGAAAGGTAGAAAATTAAGTATTTATTTTACTATTTTTACGATGAAAGCCTACTGGACGATTGATTTCAGAACAGAACACCACCTAGAGTCGTACAAAAAGGAGCATTTAACTACATTGTACTCTCTGTCACTGTTTTCTTCTGAAATAAAGTGAGACCACTCTTCTCTGCCGTATTGCCTCGACTGACCGTGCATGCTGATGAGCACTTTAAACTGTTTTCCGTCCTGATAAAATTTCAGCGGTGGCACTGCACGCCCGTCACCATGTAGGTCTCTGGCCGGAATTGGCGCTCGCGGCGGCATTTCCGCGGAGAGCGGGGAAGGGGGAAGGGAAGGGTGTGGGAGGTGTGGGAGGGGCCCAACAATTTTTCGGTTCGTGGACTTTGCGCATTTCGCATGAAGCCGCTGCGCACGAGCCATAAAAGTGTGCGAACGGAAGTGCAATAAGAAAGACAAATAAGTTTCGCGAGTTGCCTTTGTCGGGCGCGCGGCCTTGGAGAAAGAGGAAGAAAGTCGGACACAGTGACTGCGGTTTGATCCTGGACTCGCCTCGACGCCCGAATCGCTTCGAATCTGCTTTGAAAAGGCGCGAGTGCAGAGAGGTCGTTGGTCTGCTCGGTTCGTCGCAGAGTCGCAGTGCGTTCGCCGTTAACGCACACACCATTACCGAGCCTGGCCGCTCACGGTGTATTAGCACCCATTTAAAGTTCCGCGAAGAGGGGGGAATAGCCTGGCCGCGTCGCTGCGTCGCGGACCCACTATTTAGCCGGTGAAATCGTAGGAAAAACGTGCGGTTAGGCGCCTGCACGCAGATCCCATCCCCGGGCCCCGCCAGGCCCCGCCGGGCCCCCTTCGCGGTGGGCTGCGCGCGCTGCGTCCCACTCCATATTTCAGAGGGGCCTGCAGGGCCTGCCCTCCGCGCCTCCCATGACCACCAGATCCACCTGGCCCACCTCGCGTCATTTCCTGCACCGCAGAGCTATTTTTGCCCAGGGCAGGCTTCCGACTTTCAGTCCAAACTAGCCAATTCCCCTTAAATCCCTCCGCTGCGGGAAATCTCCCTCAGCGTGCGTGACGCGGCGGGAGGTAGGCCAGAGGCCCAGGCCGGGAGCCATGCAGGGCGGTCGCGTGTGTCTGCACAGACCGTACCGCACCACCCCGTCCGCCCAGCCCAGCCCAACCCGTCCGCATGACATGCCTTAGTGGGGGCAATTAGTGGACTCTATCATCTGCCGTGCGTGCCGTGGCGTGGCGCGGCGTGGCGTGCGTGCCACGCGCGTGCTATCTGCCCCCACATCTGCGGGCTCCAAACGGTGTGACTGTGACGCCGTCCTCGTCGAGCTCGAGACGCGGTCGGGTGCCGTCGCCGGCGTGCCGTCGGGAAGCCTCGGCGCCGGGCTGGGCTCTACCTGGCCCTGCGGCGCACGGTCCGGTGGTGGCGCCTTCCTTGACGGGGTCCTGGCGTCTGTCCCCCACGCGTCCACGCGCCGTTGCACGTACTCCATTTACTCTCCCACCCTTTAGGCAGCGCCGCACACACACGCACACACTCACATGTCGTCACGGTGGCTTGCGCCCCTTTGCGACAGCCGGGTGGCGGCGGCACCGGCGGCCCCGGCGGTCGGAGGCTCTGGCTTGGTGGCGCCAAGTGTCTCAGTCCAGTCCGGCGTCGCCTCCGAGTCACACCGCCACACCGGGCGCCACACCGGGCACCATGCCGCGCGAAGCAGCGCCGTGATGTCGTCGCGCCCCGAGGCCGCCGAGAGTGCCCGCCGTGTCCGCAGCGTCCGCAGCGTCCGCAGCTCCAGGCGGCGGTAGGCGCCGCTGCGGGGCACCATGCCGTGGGCAGCATGCCTGCCAAGCCCTCCCAGAGACGCACTGCCGCCCTGCTGCTCTCCTCCCTGGCCGTGTTGACGGCCTACACGGCCTGCACCCACGCTCTGCCCGACGAGGACCTGCCGCGCCACCGCAGGAATGACCGCGCGCCGCACAGCCCCGCCGTGGGCGACGCCGCCGAGGTGCGCGTCGAGGGCCGCGGGGACCACTTCGAGCTCATCTCCACGTCGAGCCAGAACAAGGCGCCGCCGGAGGACAAGGTGGCCTCCAGCGACCTCCCCGCCGCCGACAAGCAGTACGACTACCCGCTGGTGAGGCCAGTGTACGCGCCGTTCGTGACGCGGCCCTCCAGCTACGCCGTGCCCTACGTGGAGATCCTGGACCACCACCGGGACCCGCCCTTCAGCAAGCCGTCGCACTTCGTGACCGGCTCGCCGATGGTGTCCACCGTGGTGGTGCAGGACATGAGCCAGACGCCGCTGCGACCGCACGAGGAGGTGACGTCCCTCGTCGACAACTTCCAGCACCTCGGGCCCACCAAGATCCCCTTCACGGACGTGCAGGTGGTCACGAGGCCGATCGGCGGCGCTGACAAGAAGCCCAACTTTACCGATAAGCTGGAGGAAACTTCCTTGGAGCACGGCGGTGGCGGTGACTCCGACGAGGACTTGGAAGAGGACGACGACGACGACGACAACGAGGAGCTGCTCGAGAACCCGCCCAACTTGGACCTGGGCGGGATCGTGGAGGACGTGGTGAGGAAAGTGTTCCAAGAAAACCCAGTGCTGCACGACGCGGCCGAGCTGGCGCCCCGGCCGGAGGTCGGGGTGAAGACGTGGCCGTGCCCGCCAGTCACGTGCTGCACCAGGCCCGCCACCAAGGCCAAGGACGCCAAGGACGCCAAGCAGGCCAAGCGAAGGTGCTCCACCTTCGTCAACTGTGTCGCAGGTAAACACGATTGCGTTGGGAGCACACTCGTGAATTCAATCCGGGAATGTGGCGCGGCCACTCGGTTTCGCCGCGTTTTACTTTTAAACGTTGCCATGCAGGCCTCGCCTCGCGCACGCTCTCTCGCACCCATAACTAAAACCAGCAGGCACTACACGGGAAATGGACGAAACCGTAATGCATCGGAAAGATGACACAAAGAGATAACGCCGTTGGCCTACATTCACTTTCTCCGCGTTCATCGGCGCTAACTGCCGAGCCACGCGCCCCGCGCCGCCACACCCCGCCCCGCGTGTGCACTCCCATGACACCCCTCCCCGCGCACGCACGGCCCGGCTGGCCTGCCTGGCCCCGCCGAGGCTGTGTCGCGGTCGGTCCAGCTTTGTAGAGCAAAACGGCAGGGAAAGGACGCGTCGGGACGCTCGTCACTCCACTGTTATCCCCCAATTAATGTGGCCGAGCTTCGAAAAGCTGGAGGCTGAAAAAGCTCTGAAAAAGCGCGCAGAGCTAAAGTTGACCGTGTGGGAAGCTCTGCCGCGTCTGAAACCGCGGGGTGGGGGTCGCTCCGCCAAGTTTTAGATGGCCTAGGTCAGGGGCGGGGAAGGGTGCGGGGTGGCGGCACGTACCCATAAGGGTTGGCGTTGGCGGTCACCCCGTGTAGGCGAGCTCCCAAAAGTAAGCCACCGCCTGCTCTCGCGCACTCGCACTAACCTCACCTTGCGTGCTTTGCTTGCTTTGCAGGCCGCTCGCCGGGCTGCCCCCTCCGCGCCGAGCGCGTGCCGCAGGCGCTCGCGCTCACCACACCGTCAAATGGCTACAGCAACACCACGGGCCCCAAGGCAGACGTGCGCGTCGGCGAGCCGCAGCCCCGCTTCAAGAAGAAGAAGATCCTCAAGAAGAAGAAGAAGCTGCTCAAGAAGTTCCTGCTGCCACTGCTGCTGGCGTACAAGCTGCTGTTCCTCATGGTGGTGCCTATGATGGTCAACGGCATGATGATGATGATGTCCTCCTCCGGGATGGCCGGATTTTTCTTCGCGCTCATAGGCGCCTCCATTACCATGGTGAGGGTGTACAACGGTGCCATGAAGGCCCCGCCGCCGCCCCCGAACAAGGTGGTCAAGGTCATAAAGTACGTCCAGACGGTCGCCCCTCCCACGGCGTCCCCCGCCCCCACCCCCGCCCCCACGCTCCCCACCGTGATCCACCACCAGCCGTACGTGGAGGAGCACTTCCCCACGTACCACCCCCCGCACCACCCCCCGCACCACGCCCCGACGTACGGCTCCTACTACCCGCCCCCCTACTGGACCCGGAACTACGACCGCAGCGAGGGCGCGCTTGACGGCGGTAGGAAGAAACGGCGACGGACGGACGAGCAGCTGGGCACGGGGGTCTTGTTCAGCTCGGGGGACAACCAGCTGTGGCTCGTGTGAAGCGACGCCATGTTACCAGTGCCACATTACGCTTTGCGCTGCCCGAGCCCCGCAGACTTGTCAGACCTATGCTCTCTCTTTAAAAGAACCCAACGATTCAATGAAAACTTCTTGACGGAAAGCCAATACATTATCATTTTGTTGAAAAGACAAGGCTGGAAACTTTTCTTTTGGATTACTTTTTGTTTGTTTTTTTCTTCAAAATTTCCATGCACTGGCATTGTTATTTTTCACTCTTTTCACTCTTTACAGGGTGGATACAGTCGCTCTTCGCAGCACAGCCATCCGGTGACCGAAACAAAAACCCGGACGGAAGTGGTCACAGTAGCAGGGTCTGATTGGTCAGGGCAGGAGTCGCGCTTGGAGTCTACTTCTGTCGTCCCCGCGGAGGACTGAGCTAGCATTTCTGAGCAGCAATAAGTTATTCTTCCAACTTCGATATAAGAGTTAGACGCATTGGCTACACTTCATTTCCAAGCCCGGTGGGAGGAGGCGCCGTTCAAATGAAGTGCAGCCATTGGCCACTTATCGTAATGGTCTGGTTGTGGGTGGTGAATGGGTTCTAAAAGGGCTATCTAACGTGTATCAATTTCCATACCGATGTTTGGAGGCAAAGTATCAGCTCTCCTAATTAAGCTTTGCAATGCTGTTGTATCCCAGTTGTCATGAGAATTGAACTGAAATATATTCACTGATCAGGTTGCATGCAACTCTGAAAATTGAAAGGTTTGTCTTCCTCTAGATGAAAACCCCATGGACAAATTTGACATAAAAATGACAAGACATAAACACAAGATTTTTGTAAAAAATAATTTATATTACAAAAATACTATAATCGTTGAAAAACACAAAACAAATAAATAAATAAACACAATAAATACATAAATAAAATAAATACTTAACATTGAGTGAACTAGGAATATTTGAACGATGAATGAACATTCAAAATACGTAACGTTATTCGTTGGGCTACTCGTGTCTGGTACAAATCTACAGTCCAAGTCGTCTGGTCATCAAAATGAGTCCCATTAAATTCAAAACATAAGTAATCGATTCGTCCGACACAGTAATTATTAATCCTTCGATTGATATTGGACGTCGTTCACAGTTCAGTCAGTTCATATTCAGTCATTTTGTCTCAGCTCACTACTTACAGAATTCTGCTTGTCAATTTCTTTTCGAAAATCCAGTCGTTGAGATCAGTGCTATTAGGTCTTACAGTGCAAGTTCACAAAGGGATGAATTAATGTAATGTAGGAATAAATGTTAAGTCAAGATATGATCTTACTGGAACAGTGTTAAGGTGATGAACTAATAAGTCTGAGTGTCCTGGGGGCAAGGCACATAGTCTCAGTCAAAGTGTGCAGTTTTGCAAAGCGTGCTCAAGTTTAAAGTCATTCGCCCCGCCCCGTAAATTTCTTTTCTAAACTTGTCGATGTCTAGTGTCGGTAATTAACTTGTTATCACAGTCTGCTTTTCTAGAGATTCCTCTCGGAATGGGTCGTGTCTTTACACTAGAATCAGGGTCAATACTTCCAGTGTCCGCGGTGGTACTAAGTTCCTTCATGCCAACGAAGCAGATATGACTATAAATTGAGGAAATAATTCCCAGTAGTCTCAACAAGCCTTGTCAAGTCGAACACTTTGAGGTGAACGCGGGCGGCGCGGCAGGAGCCTGAGGGAGGCCAGTCAGAAGCGTCGTGCCGCGGGCCGCCCTGCCCGCCTACGCCCCGCTGCTGTTGATGGTGTTGGTGGCCGTGGCCGCCGCGGCCTGCGCGTTGTAGGCCATGTACTGCGCCGCCGTGTCGTCCGCCAGGGAGCGCCTGTCCCAGCCGCCGCCGCCGCCACCGCCGCCGTAGCTGTAGCCGCCGCCGCCACCGCCGCCTCCCGACGACCAGCCGCCTCCCGAGTGGCCACCGCCACCGCCTCCGCCACCGCCGCCACCGCCGAGCAGCTTCTTGAGGATCATGATGATGGCGAGCACGAGGGCCAGCTTGGACACCACCAGGGCCTTGAGCGCCATCATGGAGACCCCACCCATCATGATCGGCAGCATGCCCATCATGCCCATGGCAGCGCCCATCATCATCATCTTCATCATGCCCTTCATCTTGCCCCGGCCTGCAACACAAAAATCATCATTTTGGTTTATCGCCTTAACACTGTGCAACGCAGCGCCCCTGCAGCGGCCTCACGTCCAAGCCTTCTAACGCCGCGGATTCACACTCGGCCCATTCAACGCCCAGCTGCAGCGGCGCGACTGTCTGTCTCCCTCGCACCAATACGGGCCGCCCAAGGAGTGCGAGAGAGACAGAGCGAGGCTTCCCGCGGAATCGGTCTGCAGGGGTCACTACTTTATCCTGCAGCGCGGGCCGTAATGAACGGTATTGTCTGCCTTGGCTGCTGGCCGTCGGGACTGGCCGGGTCGGACTGCCCGACTCGCCCACGCCGCGCTAATGGTGCAGCCGGCGTGCTTGGCGCTGCCCGGTGCCTCGGATCGCTGCGGCCGAAGACAACGCGCCCGTCTAATTGAATAGACTTCCCTGAGGAGACTCCGTGCGGCGATCGCAGACGTATCCACCCGCGAAAGCCGGGCCCCGCCAACCGCACACGACGGGGCGGAGGAGGAAGTCTGCCAGAGAGGAAAAGTCCTCCAGTCAGTCCCCGGCCCCCTCCCCCGAGCCCGCGACCGACCCGGCCAACCCCCCGGCGCGTTGGAACCAGCCATTCCAAGCGCCGAATTTCCGCTTTGGAAATCCGTTTGGCTCCCGGAAAAAAAAGGTGACGCAGCGGGGCGGCGCGGCTGTCAGCCTGCCTCTTGGGTCTGGCCTGGCAGGCATTGCTCGCGCACAAACGTGCACAAACTCGGCTTACCTAGGCTTACGAAGTCGACGCCTCCACCAATCGGTGGGTATCGGCAAGCCTCTCAATTCAGCCGTCTGGAGCGGCCGCCAAAGACATTCCAGGTGCGGAGCGCGGCGCTGACCCCCCCCCCCCCCCCCTCCCGACAGACGGCCTGGCTGGCTGGCTGGCCCAGGCGGGCATTCCCATGGGGCTAACTAACTATTCAGCCATCTCCCGGAGCCACCGCAATTAATACACTTCCGGAGAAAAGGGCTCGCCGGGTCAGCAGCAGCAGCCGCAGCCCTGCTTCCCCCCCCCTCCCTTCCCCCGGCGCAAATTCGACCCCATTCGGATCCTCCTCGCCACGCCCCCGCACAAGACAGGTGCCTATCAGGCGGGCATCCTCCCGCCCGACCCACAAGTCGTGCAGTGCCAGTGCGGGCACGACGCAAAACTATTTTCATCGTCACTGCGTAGGGTCATGGTCTCTATGTACAGAGATCTGAATTTAAACAAGTTTAAACAAAAAAAATTTCTTGTATTTTGAAACATTTTTTTAAAGTTTTTTAGTTATTGTTTGTAATATGCGTTTTGAGTAATTTATTCACTGTTGTTCGGGCCGGCCGGGAGATGGACTGCGGTCAGGGAGCGAGCGGTGCGCGGTCGGGCCGGCGAGGGCCTCGCCACCACCCCTACTTGGGTCAGCCGGCCAGCCAGTCGGCCGGCCCACGCGCCGCACACACTGTAAACGTGTAACGCGTAGCAGAGGCCGCGGACGTGCTGGCCCCGGCGGCGGTGCGAGTGATTCAGTGATTAAACGCTTGACACTTTCTCTCGAGGGCCCGCCTTTTCCGAAAGGGAATGAAGAGGTTCTTGGGTCTGCAGTCGTGCCGGTACACGCCTTTGCGGTAAAGGCGTAGCGGTCGCCGTGTCACTACATTCCTATTCGGGAAGTGTGTCAGTCAGACGTCCCAAAAGCCTGCATCCAGCATGAATTAAACCGAAGAGAAGCAGCCGCAACTCACTTTCGAGGTTATTTTAAGCTTTTTTTCAACACGCAGTTTAATCGAGCGGGCGCTTATTGTTTCACTGTACACCAACAACCAAAAATTCAAAACAGAGCAGCAGGGAATGGTCCTGTGATTCCTGTGGCGGCGTGGTAAGCCGAGCAAAAGAAATGAGTCTACCTGCATTGTCACAGGCCCCGATACCGATGTACTTTGAATTCAGTGCACAAATTCCTGGAACAGAGTTGCCTTTTGTAGCGATTTTTGAGGGCAGCACGGCCCGTCAGTAAGGTTTGGCCTATGCTATGCAAGCATCTGCTCATGGGTTCCGTTTTAGACAGAAACTTTGCATGCAGGCTCGACGGACAACGCGCATTTAAGGTGTCCCCTTGCGAATGACGGATGAACCCGGGCTGCAATGGCATCGGTGCCGCACTTTTTCGATTCCACGACGGCAAGAAGTGCCTCACAAACCCTCGTGGGGCTGCCCCAAAAGAGGAACAAGCGACCCTGGGTGCGCCTAGCGGCGCCAAGGGGGCCTCACCTGTGCCGCCGCTGATGCCCCTCATCTCGGAGGCGGAGAGCTTGGGGAAGCTGAGCTGGATGGTGTGCGAGCTGAGCACCCTGGCGACGCGCTCCCACAGCAGCTCGTTCAGCTTGGCGTCCTTGGCGGCGTACGAGTCTCCGGACGGCAGCGCGGCCTCCAGCTCGGCCTCGCTCAGGGCGCGGCCGACGTGCGTCCGGGAGCTGTCCGCCCGCCGCACCAGGGTCAGGGTCTCGGTGATGGGCAGATCGCCAGCGCGCGCCACGCGGTCCAGCAGCGTGGCGGCCTTCAGCTTGACGCACTGCATGAGGCCGTCGCGGCGCGAGCAGTCGTCGTACAGCTTGAGCAGCACCTTGAGGCCCGTGCCGACGGGCGTGGCGCCGTCCGCGTCCACCGTCACGGACACGCCGTCCATGGCCTCCACCACGGTGGCCGAGGCCGGCGTCGTCGGGGTCGGCGTCGAGGCCGCGGCGCACCAGGCCAGCACGGCGAGGCACGACGCCCAGCCCAGGGCCGACGCGGCGCCCGGGGCCCGGCGTCGGGGGGAAGGGCGCACCATGCCGGCGGGGCACACACACATGCGCAGAGCGCACTGACACACGCACAGACACGGACGACCGAGCACCAACAGCGACCGACTGGAACTGAACCTGTGGCGTCAATGGCGGCGCCGTTTTATAATGCGGAAAAGGCAGGCGCGATGAGCCTAGACAAATACCGTGCCCCCCTCCAGCGGGGCCCCGAGCCCCGAGCCCCGGGACCTGCTCAACTTCCGATGCCTTCCCTCCCCGTTGTCTCTCTCGCGCTCCCCGCGACCCCGACCCCGGCCGCGGAGCGCGGTGGAGCGCCCCGCGGGGACCCGCGACGCCGCGCCCGACCCCGCGGCCCCCGCTGCCCCCGCCCCTCCGCGCCGGCCGTGCCGTGCCGGTGTAGGCGGAGCACGCCGACGTGCAATTGGAGGGGCTGCGCGGCCTGCGCGCGCTTGGCTCCACCACCGCAGCCGAGCTGGCCGCGCTGGCCAGGCTCGGACTGCCCATTGGCCCTCTCATCACCTCGGCCCAGAAAATCCCAGCGGCCCTAATAAACCACGAGCCTGATGAAGTGTGGTGAACGCGGTGAAGTGACCGACCGCACCCGGCGTGGCGCCTCTGGCCGGCAGGGCGTTTCAGCGCCGCCAACGGACGGGATGGACGGCAGGAAAGTTGGTGGCGCTGAAACGCAGCGCGCGAAAGGTGAAACTTGGCGCAGTCAAATTAAGCGGGGCGGCAGGTGTGCAGTAAAATGAAAGGCCACTGCGAATCGGGGTGCGAATGGCGGATGGTGAATCCAAGCTAATAAGCGGCGCCAGTGGCGATGCAGCGCGCTGTCCGGGGGGAGGGCGCGGTACACTGTACATTCCGGTGCAGTCGCAGTCAAGAGGCGCGTGGAATCTGGCGCTCTGCTGCGCGGTGCTCGGTGGGCCAGAAGACCGGTGGAGACGACCAAAACAGTAGACGGGTTTTGAGCCCTAGAGTCGTTAAATGGGGCTCGAACCAAACTTGTGACCCCACCAATCGATTCCTCGTTCGGAGAGCAATCCATTGGTGGGGTCACACGTTCGGTTCGAGTCCTGTTTGGTGACTCTGGAGCTCAAAATGCCTCTAGAGTTTTGTTCGCCTCCACCGGCCTCCTGGCCCTGTGCAGTGCTACGCCCCTGATCGATGTGTCGCCGACACCGGAAGGCGCCGGGCGGCGCCGGGCGGCCCAGCGGGAGCAGCCAGCACTGCCGAGCCTCTCTGCCAAGGCTCCGCCGAGCAGCAGGAAGAGGGGAAAAAGAGGACTGCATTTTCTCATGCCATTATTGTTTCTTCGCGCGGGGGCATGAATGTCAAATTAAAAGGGGCTACGGAAAGGGAACAAGAAGTGTAACGAACGACGAGCAGTGGAACGAAAGACGAATACGCCGAGAATGGACCGGCGAAGAAAAGGGTGGGGGTGCTGAATCGAAGCGCCGCCTAACTTTTCTTTCATGGGCATCGCCTTCTCCCCGTTCGTCTATCTCTGTGTGGCCCGCGTGCCCCTCGACGACCGCCGCCGTCTTCTAGAGACTAGAGAAGGCCCCGCGCTCCCACACTGTCAGGCCGCGGCGATGTGTGCCCACCCACATTAATACCTCGTCATACTGTCAGGTGGCGGGGCGCACCGGCAGAGCGAAAACTACCGCCGGTGAAAGCCACTGCCAACAAACGCATCTCAAATTGGTGCAAAATAAATACTTGAAAAACGCCTCGAGGTAAAAGAAAGAGCTCCTCGCGGAAATACCTGAGCGCGTTCCTTCACTCGATTTGTACGCAAAATAATAAACAAATTGCATCGGCAATCACTATTTCGTCATTTTGTCTCTTTATTTCTGTTTTATCGATTTGCTTTTTATTTTTCTAAGAAACGGAGCGCGCGTGCGCGCGCGAATTCTCGGCACGTCTTTGATGACGACGCAGGGAACATTGCCTTTGCGTCGCGTCATGTCTGCCGACCGAAATGATAGGGCTTCGGCCACACATTCACAGACACACACATACACGCGCTCGCGCGCACACACAGACACTACACGCGTGTGTTTGCTTGTCCCCTCGCTTCCCCCTCGTGTATCACATTTTCCGGCCACTGTTCCAGTATCGGTCCACGCGACGTCCCCGGCGTCCCCGTCATCAGGGAGAGAGGCACGGCGGCGTCTGGTTGCGTTGGAAGCAGCGCGTCGGGAAATTAATTTTGGCGCGAAAACGATCCTGGGCATTGACTCGCCGCACGGCAAGTCGTCGTATGGGACGGCAGCGCGGCGGCGGCGCCACAGCGAGGCGGGGCGCTTCGCCATTATTGAAAAGCATCGCCGCGCATCTGCAGCATCTGCCGTCGCTGCGTCTCTCTCGCACTCCCCGCGGGCCGCGGGCCGCCCCGTGAGTGCGACGGGGACGGAGCGACGGCTGCAGCATCTGCGCTGCACTTCCCCGTGATTGCTCCGAATGGCCGTGGAACGGCCCGGCCCGGCGGCTCAAACGGTAAGCGGCGACTTTCGCTGCGTTTGCCTTGCACTCGTCGGCCCGCCGCGCCGCCGCGCCGCCATGCCGCCCTGAGAAACGTGTCAGACAAATCCATTGTGCGAAATGATGTCACCTCTTTAGGGCGACGAAGCCCGGAAAAGCTGAGTGCTTCGCTTTCCCTCGGGCTGCCGAAAACTGTCGCGACGGCAGGCAGCGAGGGACGTGGCCGCCACACTGCGCGCGGATGTCTGCCGGGACGCCAGAGAGCGGCTCGGCTCGGCAGCCTAACAAGTGGGAGTGCATCGCATGCCCCATTGCCCCGACTCGCCTGCGACCCGCGACAGCGGCGGCAATCTTGCGGGCAAGCGTCCTCATCCTCGTCCCATCCGACCCGTGCAGATCCGCCGGCACATCAAGATGCACATTTCTCCCTACATGGCCGCCCCGCCCCGCCCCGCCGGCCCACCGCAGACGCGGTAAACGCCGTGTCGTACAGGTTAGGAGCGGGGCGCCCGCTCGTGGGTCACGTTCCATTTTTCGCAGCGGCAGAGGGAGACTCAGACCCCTGTAACGTAAAAACAAATCGGGGTGTCCGTGTCAGCCTGCGGCGACCTGCAGCGCGGGCGGGCCGCAAGCGCTGCAAGCAGAGCGCCACAGTGTGGTGTAAAACCGAGGTTAGCACCTGGCGAGCGAGTGCTCTGTCTCTCTCGCACCTCTGTACCAGGCCGTAGGGGTGTGAGGGAGACAGAGCGACGAAAACGACTCTTCGGAGTCATCTCTGCGAGCACTTGCACTTTACGGCAAGGACTGCGCGCGGCGGGGTGGCACTCCACTGTGAATCGGTCGCTGCCTCGGCGCCTCGTGACCGCATACGGCGACGTGCTGCAAACGTGCTCCAGAGGCCGTTATCCACTCCGCCGATCGGACTCGCACTCCGCCAAGGACTCGCTCGGCGATAGTTCAATATCACGAAACAATAACGACATCAATGCAGTCACAATGGCGGCACGACACGAACCGACTTTACGGAAACCCGACAGCAGGTGCGGCAGTGAGAAGTCGAAGAAAGGCGGCCGTGAAAAAAGTGAACGTTGTTGTTATTGGCGCCTCGACAAGTGCCTTCCACACGTTCGGCGGGCGGTACGGCACCGGGTTCGTTCACACGGCGACCCGCGCCATGCGTGACGGTAATGCCGGCCTCCTCCGCCTCCCAATTGAGCATGCTCAGCGAGAAACGAGGCGCCAGATGACTGACCCACTGGCCGATCTGCTGCCCTCCCCTGCGTGCCCGGTGCTACAATAATTGTTGGCGTAAAAAAAGCTGGTTCCTGATTTTGGTCCGCAGAGAATAAAACGGACGATTGAATTTGGCCGCGCAGTGGGGCCTCCGTTGGGCTTGCGAGCACACTGGGTAACGAGGGAAGGTGCAACGGGAAAGAGCTGGCCAGCAACGAGATGTACAATTTCACTCGGACAATAGGCTCGCTTAATGCGGCAAAAAAGGGCGATGCAGATCGGCAGGACAAGCGTCCCGAGGTAACGGTCGGACAGCAGGAACGCAGAAATGTTCCGCAGGAGTGTGAAGCTCACAGGTCTCAGGCGTTTCATTTGAATAGAGCAGCCTGGCGTCTACGTCAAGAAACAACAAACTGTCTCATTCTCCTCTTCCTCGTTGCCGTCTAAATTTGGCGTGGGGGTAGGATTTGAAAGTAGGCCGCAGGGCCCCACCACGAGCCCCCACCAAGGCCCCACGACGCACTTCCGCGGTGGCTGAGCACTGTCACCCAATTGTTGGCGTGTAAAGGTGACAAGTCGACGCGGTGCGCGCCCCCGTGTGTGTGGCTGTGCTTCCGAAACGCCGTGACGTCAGCAAGGCGGGCGGCGCTGGCGGTGGTCGCGACCCGGTCGTCGCCGGCGGCCTTGTCTCTCCGATTTCCCCGCCACGTGTTCCTTTGTGTTTGCACACGGCCTGCACGGCGTCCTGCACGGCGTCCTGCAGCACGGCCTGCATGGCCTGCACGGCCTGCACCGCGGCGGCCGAGGGGGAAAGTCCCCGCCGTGTAATGACGCTGACCCCTACGGGCCCGGAGCCCTGGCCGAGCCCTGCCTGAGCCCTGCCTGGCCCCAACCGAGCCCTGGCCGGAACCCGCGCGCAAATCGGACGGAATTACCGACAACGGCAGTGACATTTCAACTGCAGGGGCGCCCGACAGACCCAGGCAAGGGATCTCGGTGGGAGGGGGCGAAGATTGCCTGCAGCGTTGTCTGCCGGGGTTGGAGAGGTGGGTCTCGCCGGAGCACCACACCAGAGCTACATGGCTGGGCCGAGTCCGGAGGTAAAGCACAAAAGAAAACTGTCTGAGCTTTTCGGAGGGGAGTCTATCGGATTGCAGACGCC